CAGCTCCAGCGTCCGGGTCCTCAGCACCAGCAACAGCACCACCGCTCGGGTCCGCAGCACCAGGAGCACCACTACGAAGACTGCAGCGCCGCGTGTACCACTCGCGGATCACCTGAATGGGGGGGAGCTCCTGGGTAGGAGGGGAAGTACCGGGACGAGCTCCAGAAGCACCTCTCCGGAGGCGGCAGTACTCGAGGTACCTCTCCTGCAGCTGCTGGGAGGAGAGGGCTCCTCCAGGTGGAGTACCCCCAGACTCAGCACCCCCAGACTCAGCACCCCCAGACTCAGCACCCCCAGACTCAGCACGTCCAGACTCAGCACCCCCAGACTCCGCACCTCCAGGCTCCGCACCTCCAGGCTCAGCACCCCCAGGCTCCGCACCTCCAGGCTCAGCACCCCCAGGCTCCGCGCCTCCAGGCTCAGCACCCCCAGGCTCCGCACCTCCAGGCTCAGCACCCCCAGACGCAGGACGCGAGTCAACAGCTACCTCGACAGGCTCACCCGGGTCTACCTGGGACACACCTGAGGGAGCGGCACCCTGAGGGGGGAGGGGGTCTGGTACCTCAGCACCTGGAGCGAGGAAGAGAGGCGGGGGGGGGAGTGGGGCAGTGCGGTAGGGGAAGAGGCGGTAGAAGGGGACGGACTCGTCAAAAGTGACGTCCTGAGAGGCCAGAACCCGGCGCGAGGTGACGTGGTAAAACTGCCATCCAGGCGCGTCGGGAACAAAGCCAAGAAAGACACAGGGAACAGTGCGACGTGAGAGCTTGTCCGCAGACGTGTCGCGGACAAAGGCTCGAGATCCCCAGACCCGGAAACGCGACGCATCGCCAACCTCTCCCGTCCACCGTAGAGTCGGGGAAGTCTCCGGCAAGGAGACACGGGGCCAGAGGTTGAGCTGATGTGCTGCGTACCGGACCGCAAACGGCCACAGAAAGTGGGGAGCAGCCGCATGGGTCAGGGAGGTACGAGCGACCTCCATGACTAAGCCAATGCGGCGCTCAGCAACCCCATTCTGCTGTGGAGAGGCCGGAAGCGTGTACGACTGCTCAATGCCGTGCTCAGCACAGTAGGCTGCCAAGAGGTCGGAGGCGAACTCACCACCCCTGTCAGAGTGCAAGCGCAGGACAGGAAAGTCCGAGTGAAAGCGCTCGCCTAGCTGGAGACGGGCTCGGCTGATCCAGGGGATCAAAACACCAGGGACGTCACCCTTGGCGCGCAAGGGGAAGACCGTGGTGTAGCGCGAGTAGTCGTCAACAACTATCAGGAAGTACCTCTCCTGACCCTGACCACGGACGCGGGCTGGGCCCCACACGTCCATGTGGAGCGTCTGCAGGGGAGCGGTCGTCGGGGGAAAGGAGGAAGAGTGAGGAGCGGCGCGCTGCCGCCCCTCGACACAGGGAATGCAGTCAGGAGCAGGGGAGTCAGGAAGGGGAGGGAGCACCCTGGGAAGACCAGCAACAAGGTCCCGTTTGTGCATGGCCCGAAGGCGCTGCACAGACGGGTGACCAAGGCGGTGGTGCCAGAGGACGGTGTCGTTCGCCAGAGAGCGACACGAGCAGGGGGCGGACAGCTGACCTGACGCTGACGCAGACGCAGCTACCTGAGGGGACTCAGTGGTCAGTGTGTACAGGTCAGACCCCGGCTCTCGAGTGAAAGTAGCCAGGTGGCGGCCCGTCCGAGCACACGTGCAGTGAGTCACACGCTCGTAGGCAGGGGTGAACTGGTGAACACCCGAGTCCTGGAGCGCACTACCTGCCACCAAGTTCGTGGAGAACGAGGGGAGGTAGAGACCTGAGAGTGTGCCGGACGGAACCGCTGGACACGGAAGGGTGGTGGAGGAGGTCGCAAGGACCGGACCCCCAGAGGGGTCAGCAAGAGAGACAGCAACCGGCCGAGCTAGAGGCTCAAGGACAGTGCGGTCACGAAAGAAAGAGCGAGAAGCACCTGAGTCCAGTGTGAAGGTGTGCAGTGCTGCAGTCGACTCAGTACCAGGGGGCACAGACGCACAAGCACCTAGAGCAGCAGCTGCAGTAGTACCTGTGGAAGCAGACACACTAGCACCTAGAGCAGCAGCGGGGCTGGCCTGAATGCCCGGGTCGGGCGGAACACGCAAGTACTGAGCACCCTCTCCACTAATAGACATCGCATACATGGCAGTGAGAATAGCATCAAAGTCAAGTGCCCAAATATCAACACCCTTCCTGAGCAGATCAGCCCAGCGCGGCAGCTCACCCCCACCAGGAAACTGGGTGCGCCACGCATCGTTGAGGCGGGCGAAGCAGCGCTCCGTCTGGTGCGGCCCCCCACACATCTGGCCAGTGCGGTCACCTGTACGAATAACGTACTGGCAGGTGACGCTGCGCCGCGCATACCACTCACGGGCGGCCTGAAGGGTCGGGGAAGGCTGCTGACTCTGACCGCCCCCCGGGCCTCCACGACCACCACCCCCTCCGCCTCCGCCCCGGCCACCTCCACCCCTGCCGCTGCCACGACCACCTCCGCCTCCGCTGCCACCTCCGCCCCTGTCACCACTCCCAACACCGCTGTCACCTCCACCACTGCCGCCACTAGTCTCTCCAGTCGCACCTCCACCGCCACCACCTCCACCCCCGCCTCCTCCGCCACCACCCCCACTCCTGCCACTCCTGCCCCTGCGTCGTCCGCCTGAAGCAGACGCAGCCCCGACCTTCTCAGCACCAAGGAGGTCGACAGCAGCAGCAGAGGCGACAGAGGGGAGGAGGGGGGAAGGGGAGCACCCCTCGAAGAAGGGGCCGCGGGGGTCGCCACGAGAGGTGCCTACAGCGACGATACTAGCCTCGGCTGCAAGCAGTTCCTTCTCGAGGAGGGCTATGGTGAGCTCAGTGGGGGAGCGAGAGAGGAACTGGTCCCTGACAGGGCGCAGAGAGTCAGGGAGGCGGGTGACAACGTGGTAGAGAGTGATCCAGAGCGGGGGGGGGTTGCTAGCGAGGAACTCATCAGGCATGGCAGCGCGAAAGCGGGCCTCACTAGTCTTAAGGTGGGTGATGAGGTCTGCGACAGTGTGAAAGGAGGCTAGGTCGGGGAACAGGTAGGGGAGAGTGAGGCGGCCTAGTGTGGCAGAAGCGGGTGAGGAGTAGCGGGCCACTACAGCTGTGTAGAGGTCCTTAGCAGTCTTGCACTGGCCGAAGTGCTCGCGCTCATCTAGCGGCAGGGAGTTGCGAATAGCAAAGCGAGCGTGCGCGTCACGGGTCTGCCACTGTGAGCGCTCAGCTGGGGGGGCAGTAGCGAGTGGGGCGGTCGCATGGCCGAGAGCGTGGTCGTACAGTGTAATATCTTCCTTGGCAGTGAGCTGTAGGAAAAGGTGCAGGTCATCTAGCCAGGTTTCGAATTTGACCGGACGGCCCTCGGCGTCGAAAGCTAGAACAGGAGGACTAGCCATAGCGACAGCGGCAGTAGTAGAAGCAGTAAAGTCACTGAAAAGGCGTGCGCAGGGTCAGCGGGGCCGGTGGGGCCTACGGACTGTAGTGGCGCACAAGCAGTAGTAGCAGAAAGTGTAGTAGTAGGAATGCAGTGGTGCACAGGCGCAGCAGGCGGCAGCGAGAGCCGGCGTAGTAGGGGCGGGCTCAGCAGCGGTGATTCGCGGGCGACGGCGGGCGCAGCAGCGGCGGTGCGCGGGCGGCGGCGGGCTCAGCAGCGGTGGTGCGCGGGCGGCAGCGGGCGCAGCAGCGGCGGTGCGCGGGCGGCGGCGGGCTCAGCAGAGGCGGTGCGCGGGCGGCTGCGGGCTCAGCAGCGGTGGTGCGCGGGCGGCAGCGGGCGCAGCAGTGGTGGTGCGCGGGCGGCTGCGGGCTCAGCAGAGGCGGTGCGCGGGCGGCTGCGGGCTCGGCAGCGGCGGGCCGGGAGCAGTGCGGGCAGCGTGCGGGCCGGCGGCGGTCAGCGCACGAGCCGCGCAGGCTCAGCGCGGGCTGCGCGGGCTGCTCGCGGGCTGCGTAAGCGGGTCGCGGGCGGCTCGCGGGGGTTCGCGGGCAGGTCGCGGGCTGCTCGCGGGCAGTTCGCGGGCTGTGCGCGGGCTGCGCGGGCTGGTCGCGGGCTGCGCAGGCGGTTCGCGGGCTGTGCGTGGGCGGTTCGCGGGCTGTGAGCGCGGCGCGCTGTGCGGTTCGCGGGCGGCGTGACGGGGCCGATCGGGGCGCTAAGGGGCGACGCGACGGGGGCCGTGAGAGGCCGCTAAAAAAAAAAAAAAATTCGAAGGGGCCGCAGGGCCGCTAGATCGTGCTAGATCGACGGGGCCATCGGGGCCGAAAAGAAGCGAAGGTAAGCAGGTAGGTAAGTCGGTGGGCCCTAAGAACAGTCCTAGCGAAGGACCTGCTCTGAAACCATGTCAGAAATAACTGAGCAGGAATGAATGAACTAGAACAGAGTTTGGTACAAGTAGGAAACCCTAACTTTGTGTACCCCCTAAGGTGTAACCCACTACAGCCTAGACAATATAAACATGCAATGTTTGACAAGTCATGCTGAGCGGCAACGTGCAGCAGCACCCGAAGAGTGGTCATTTTCGGGGTAGGGGAGAAGGTCTGGAAGAAGTCAACCCCCTGTTGCTGACTAAAGCCTCGTGCAACGTAACGAGCCTTGTAGACAGGCGGAGAACCCCGCGGCCGCTTCACCCTGAAAATCCACATGCCATCGACTATGTTCGCCCCAGGAGGGGGAACCTCATCGATGTAAGTGCCTGTGGATGTCCAGGACACCATCTCTGCGTCCATGGCTGCCTGCCACTGAGAGGAGTAGGGACCCAAAATCGCCTCTGCGTAAGAGCGCGGGGTCGGGATGTCCAGTGCATCCGGGTCTCCCTCACGTACAAGACACTCAAAGTTCTCCTGCCTGTCCTCAAGGACGTCTGTGCCAAGAGCACACTCACCCCCGGCGGATGGAGGATAGACAGACTCAAACTCAGCGACAAGTCTAGTGGCGTTGTCGAGACGACAAGCAGGAGCAAAATCAACAAGGCAGACGCAGCAGCAGACTCAAACGAAGGGTCGGTGACAATAGTGGTCCGGAACGTGTGGAAGCGAGGGCGTTGGAGGAGACGGCAGGGGAACACGCTGTGGAACAGAGGAAGGACGAAGTGTCATAGTGTGAGTGCCAGGGACAGGAGGAGGACGCTGACGAGGAACACGACGACCAGTGCGAACAGCGCGAACAGGCGAGGCAGGACGAGACGCAGGCTCACGACGCTCTGTAAGCGAGTCAGTCTGCTCAGTGTAGGGAGAAGGAGCAGGCAGTGGGGAGCCTGGCTGTAACGGGAGACCAGTAGAAGACGGGAGGCTAAGAACCTGGCGAAGCATCGAGTCAGGCGGCGGCAGAGTCGGCGGTGACGGCGGAGCGAAGAAGCAACGCGGCTGTGCAGTACCACCAGCACCAGCTCCTCTAGCACCAGTACCGCTAGTACTAGTACCAGCAGCCCCAGGGCCTCCAGCAACTCCAGCACCTCCAGCTCCCGGGTCACCAGCTCTAGTGCCTCCAGCTCCAGCACCTCCAGCTCCAGCACCTCCAGCTCCAGTGCCTCCAGCTTCAGCGCTTCCAGCGCCAGGGCCTCCAGCTCCAGTGTCTGCAGCACCACCAGCTTCGCCAGCTCCAGTACCTCCAGGACGAGTACCCCTGGGACGCAGCACCGGCACCTCCGGCTCCAGCAGTAGAACCACGAGCCTTGGCAGCTCCAGTACCTCCAGTACGAGCACCTCTAGGACCAGCAGCTCCAGAGCCTCCAGCTGCTCCAGAACCTCCATCTCTCCAGCGCCTCCAGCTCTAGCACCTCCAGCTCCCGGGTCACCAGCTCCAGTGGCTCCAGCTCCAGAGCCCGCAGCACCACCAGCTCCGGCAGCTCCAGCACCTCCAGTGTGAGAACCTCCTGGACCAGCAGCTCCAGCTCCTCCGGTACCTCCAGCTCCAGCGTCTCCAGCCGCAGTGCCTCCAGCTCCAGTAGCGCCACTCCGAAGACAGCGGCACCGAGCGTACCACTCGCGTAGCTGCTGTGGTGAGGGATGATCACCTCCAGTACGAGCACCTCCGGGACCAGCAGTGCCAGCACCACCAGCACCACCAGACTCAACACCCCCAGGCCACGCTTAGGCTCAGTACCTCCAGGCTCCGCACGCTCAGGCTCAGCACCCCTAGGCTCCGCATGCTCGACTCCCCCAGGCTCAGCACCAGCAAGCTCAGCACCAGCAAGCTCAGCACCCACAGGCTCTGCACTCGGCTCCAGGCTCAACACCCCCAGGCTCCGCACCCCCAGACGCAGCACCCCGAGCAGCACCAGAGTCACCAGTGACCTCGACAGGCTCAACCAAGGGGAGTGGGTCTACTTGAGACACACCTGAAGGAGCAGGACCCTGAGGGGGGAGGGGGTCTACCGGAGGGGGACCTAGAGAGAGGAAGAGTGGCGGGAAGGGGGGGGGGAGGGGCAGTGCGGTAGGGGAAGAGACGGTAAAAGGGAACCGACTTGTCAAACGTGACGTCCTGAGAGGACAGGACACGGCTCAAGGTGGTCTGGTAAAACTGCCAACCAGGCGCGTCAGGGGGGAAGCCAAGGAAGACACAGGGAATGGCGCGGGAGGAGAGCTTGTCCGCGGAGGTATCGCGGACAAAGGCACGAGCGCCCCAGACCCGGAACACCGACGCATCGCCAACCTTCCCCGTCCAACGCAGTGTAGGCGAGGTCTCCGGCAAGGAGACACGGGGCCAGAGGTTGAGGTAATGCGCAGCGTACCAAACCACAAACGGCCACAGAAAATGGGGAGCAACCGCATGCATCATGGAGGTATGCGCCACCTTCATGACTAAGCCAATGCGGCGCTCAGTAACCCCATTCTGCTGCGGGGAGGCCGGAAGCGTGAACGACTAGAGGATGCCCTTCCCCCTAACAGAAGTCCCAGAAGAGGTCAGAGGAGAACTCACCACCTCTGTCAGAGTGCAGACGCAGGACAGGAAGGTCCGTGCGGAACTACTGACGGAGCTGGAGACGAACAGCGCAGATCCAAGGGATCAAAACATCAGGGACCTCCCCCTTGCTGCGCAAGGGGAAGATCATGGTGTAACGCGCGAAGATGTCAACAACCAGCAGAAAGTATCGCTCGCGGCCCTGTCCCTGAACGCGGGCTGGGCCCCACACGTCCATGTGGAGAGTCTGCAGGGGAGCCTCTGTCGGGGGAAACGAGGAGGAATGAGGAGCGGCAAGCTGCCGTCCCTCGACGTAGGGAAGGCAGGGCGGGGCAGGCGAGCGCGGGAGGGGGGGCAGAGACCTGGGAAGGCCAGAGACAAGGAAGCGGGTTTGCATGCCATGGAGGCGTGGCAAGGAGGGGTGACCAAGACGGTGGTGCTAGAGGAGAGTCTGGGGCGAGAGGTGGCAACACGAGCAGGGGGCTGCTACCTAACCTGCCGCGGACACCTGACCAGACGCAGCTACCTGGGGAGGCTCAGTAGTCAGTGTGTACAGGCTCGAGCCAGGCTCACGGGTGAACGTGGCCAGGTGGCGGCCAGTCCGTGTACACGTGCAGTTCGCCACACGCTGACCCCCAGTAGTGGTGGTAGTGACCATCGCATCATGTAGGGCAAAAGACTCACCAAGTTCGTAGAGAACGAGGGGAGGTGAAGACCTGACAGTGAGCCAGACGGAACCGCCGGACACGGAAGAACAGTGGTGGAACATGCAAGAACTGGACCCCCTGAGGGGTCAGCCAGTCTGACTGCAACGGGTGCAGGGAGTGGTGTGACTGTGGTACTGTCGCGAAAGAAACAGCGGGAAGCACCTGAGTCAAGCGTGAAGGTGTGCAAGGCCTCAGCAAGCGCAGTACCAGAGAGAGCAGAATCACTAGCACCTAGAGAAGCAGCCTCTATACCAAGGTCGGGCGGCACACATAGGTAACAGTCACCCTTAGAGTTAACAGTCATAGCATAAATGGGAGTAAGGATAGTGTCATAGTCTAGAGCAAAGATATCCACCTTGTTCCGAAGCAGCTCTAGCCATCGGGGGAGCTCAACCTCGTCACCAAACACTGCACGCCAGGCATCGCTCAGACAGACGAAGCAGCGAGCTTGTGTGTGACCAACAGTCTCGCAAGTCTGACCAGCTCGATCACCTGTGCGAATGACGTACGGGCAGCGGACAGTACTCCAAGTCCTCCCACTCTGAGCGTACCACTCACGAAGCTGCTGGGACGTAAGGGTCTCGCGCGGACGCCGCTGCAGCTGCATCTGGCCACCGCCAGAAACTCTGCACTGAACAGCTCCACCGCGGTTGCCACTACGGCCGCCGCCACCACACCTACTGGTGTACCACTCACGGAGCTGCTGGGAAGTAAGGGTCTTGCATGTCAGAATATTATGCTCTAGCCTGCAGTGGGGTGCTCTATAGCGAGTACAACCCTTCTAGGGTTAGCTATTTGTACCACCATTGTTGCTAGTGCAAACCCCTCTCCTTTCTTCATTCTTGCTTCCAGTCCGTTCATTCTGACATGCTATCAGAGCAGGTCGACCCTCCTGGGTCGATCCTGTGGGTGGGCCCACCACCTAATGCTTCCGCTGCTTTACTTCCTGCCGGGCGCCTCGGGCGCGCGACGACTTCTTCCTGCCGTGCGCTCGAATTTTTTCTAGGGTTTCGGCGGTTTTCATCCCGCCGTGCGCTCGGGGCGCGCGGCGGTTTTCTGCACGCCGTGCGCCCCGAGGCGCGCGGCGGTTTCCCACCGTCGAAGTGCCCCCCGTCGCCCGTCGAAGCGCCCTCCCCCCGTCGCCCGTCGAAGCGCCCCCGTCGCCCGTCGGAGCGCCCCCCGTCGCCCGTCGAAGCGCCCCCGTCGCCCGTCGGAGCGCCCCCCGTCGCCCGCCAAAACGCCCCCGTACGGGCTGCGCCAGGCCCGCGCGCGGCCCGTACAGCCCGCGCGCGGCCCGTACGGGCTGCGCCAGGCCCGCGCGCGGCCCGTACGGGCTGCGCCAGGCCAGCGCGCGGCGCGGGCAGCCTGCGCGCGCCTCGTCCGTCCCCCTCTCGCCGTCCCCCGCGCTCCTGCCCCTATCCCACCCGTTTTAGGGTTTGGGGATGTAGAGTGTGGGGGTGGCGGGTGTGGGGGTGCCGGTTGTGTGCCCCGTCCCCTCCTTCTCCTCCTCCTCCGTCTCCCGCTGCTGCAGCTGCCGCTCAGGGGGGTGGTTGTGTGGGGAGCCGAAGGAGTGGTCCTAGGGGGGTGAAGGGGGAGTGGAGCTAGGGGCGCAGCAGGGGGTGTGTGTCGAGGGGTGTGGGACTGTTGGGGGAGGTTGAGCGGAGGTTGCCGTCGTGTCGTACGCAGCGCCTGTACTCCGGGGCACTCATTCCCGGTAGCTCAGAGAGCCGGTTGCGCCGTCGCCTGTGGGTCCGTTGCTCCTGCCGCGCATATTAGCCGCGGAGCCTGTTACTCCTGTACTCCGGGGCACTCATTCCCGGTAGCCACGTTGTCGCACCAGAGCCGTCTGTTGCCCGTGTGTCTGCATCTTCAGTCGTCGCCTCCTATCTACTCTCCTCTCACCAGCCCTCCTCCTCCTCACTTGCCCCCTGTGACTGCCTCTAGCTTTGCTCATAATTGTGAACCTTAAACTATTCCTCTTGCTTGTGCTCAGAATGTGTGGTGACATCGTGATCCACCCTGAGCTTGTACTACTTTGCTTGCTCTGCTGATTACACCCCACTTTGACTATGGGGGTGTGTCAGAATATTATGCTCTAGCCTGCAGTGGGGTGCTCTATAGCGAGTACAACCCTTCTAGGGTTAGCTATTTGTACCACCATTGTTGCTAGTGCAAACCCCTCTCCTTTCTTCATTCTTGCTTCCAGTCCGTTCATTCTGACATCGCACGGACGCCGCTGCAACTGGATCTGGCCACCGCCAGAAACTCCGCACTGAACAGCTCCACCGCGACTGCCACTACGGCCGCCGCCACCACTCCCACTGCTGCCACCACCGCCGCCACCACTCCCACCGCTACCACGAAGAGAAGTCATAGCGGGCCAAGTAAGGAGGCGTGCGACCAGCAGGGCAGCACTTAGTGAGGGCAGGGCGGCGAGCAGGCCCTAGGGTAGAGCGTAGGGTGGGGCGTGCGGCACATGGTCACGGAAGGGCAGCGTGTTAAGAGTCTACTTGAAGCCATTGCTAGAGAGGATGGTTCAAGTGATAGACTAACAAGAATGTCGAGATACAAATGTTGGAAACCCTAAATAAACTTAAGGTGTGTTCAGTTCGCGCTAGAAACTAAGAAATAAACCTTAACTAAACCGAAAGTGTATCTTGCTCTGAACATGGCGAAATGACAAAAAAATACCATGATAAATGCCAGAGCGAGCTCTAGCCTACTCCATCACATCGCCCAGCCAGAGTAGGGTGGCGCGCTCACGAAAGGGCAGCTCGTTGGCAGGCAATGACAGTGCGCGGGCTGCAGAGGGCGGCGCGCGGCCGCGCGCGGGCTGCAAGGGCAGCACGAGAGCTTGCAGGGGCGACGCGCGGGCAGGCAGGGCAGGCACGCGGGCAGGCAGGGGCAGCGCGCGGTTCGCGCGGGCTGTAGACGGGCGGCGCATGGGCCGGTAGGGGCTGCGCGCGGGCAGGGCAGGGCGTGCGCGGGGCAGCGCGATGCGGGCAGGGTGAGCGCGGGGCAGCGCGACGCAGGGCAGGGCGTGCGCGGGGCAGCGCGACGCAGGGCAGGGCAGGGCGTGCGCGGGGCAGCGCGACGCAGGCAGGGCAGGGCGTGCGCGGGATGGTGCGACGCAGGGCAGGGCAGGGCGTGCGCGGGCAGCGCGACGCAGGGCAGGGCGTGCGCGGGCAGCGCGACGCAGGGCAGGGCAGGGCGTGCGCGGGCAGCGCGACGCAGGGCAGGGCGTGGGGTAGCGCGGCAACCATAGTCGGTCACTAGCTAATAGTGGGCCCAGAAAAAAAAAAAAAAAAAAGAACGTCAAAAACTAACGAGCAGGAATGATCGCATTGAGCAGAAACGTGGGTACATGTGCTAACCCTAAGCTGGGTTGTACCCAGGGCTCTGGTTAGTTTTTGAACTTCTCTTTCACGTAAGGCCAACACCCCTATTTCACTTTTTCTGTAAGGGTAGATCACAAAAACTACTCTTTCTGGTAAGGGTGCAAATAGCAAACAACATTTTCACAACAGGAAAATATCCTAATGGACCAGTTGCTGGGTTGTAGTCTGTTGCATCGAGGAATTCCCTGCAGAGAACCCGAAATCGAGACCTGATGTGAGCACAATTTCGAGGGATTTTGCTATACTCCGTAAGATGTAACTCAATATCATCAGTGTTACTGCACCACCTATGTTATGAATGAACTTGTCAGAGTGCGCAGATATCGAATAACGAGAATGGTTGACTACTGAATGACGATACAATGAGAAAGGCACGACTAAATAGGGGAAATCCTAGCTAGGCGAGGGTTCGGGATGGGATGGCTTGGTGATGGTTGCGGTTGGAGCGGAGGCCGACTCGGGGGTGGTTCGGTGCGACGAAATAGGCCGAACAGGTTCGTCGCGACACCTTCGGGATGTACTCGCTAAAGTGCGAGTACAGTAAGGAATTGTAATTCCTTACACTCTCCCACCTTCCAAATAAGCCCTCCCTGTATGTAGACCGAAGCCTTCCGTAGTGAGTACGTCGTTGATCTGTCTTTCAGCTGAATCCGACGGCTGGAATTTGTCAGAACTAGCTGTAGAAAGTAAGAATGAAGAAAGGAGGGTTTGCACTAGCAGCAGTTGGCATACATATAGGAAACCCTAATTGGGTTGTACTCGCTATAGAGTACCCCACTGCAGGCTAGAGCATAATATTCTGACACACCCCCATAGCCAAAGTGGGGTGTAATCAGCAGAGAAAGCAAAGCAGTACAAGCTCAGGGTGGATCACAATGTCACCACACATTCTGAGCACAAGTTTAAGAAGCAATAGTTTAAAGTGCACAATTATGAGCAAAGCTAGAGGCAGTTACAGAGGGCAAGTGAGGAGGAGGAGGGCTGGCGAGAGGAGAGAAGAGTGGAGGCGACGACTGAAGCTGCAGACACACGGGCAACAGACGGCT